AACACGGAGATTCCCTATCTCTCCAGAAAGAAGAGCTATCATCAAGAAGTCAACCAATAGGCTGGGAATTTAGGTCAGCAGCATAAGCACCTTCCTGGTAAGTGCAAGGTTGTCAGTTGGATCCCTGGTACAAAAAAAGTGCTTGTGGGACTGTAAGGAAAAAGTAACACTTCTGCATTGTTGACAGGGAACATAGACTTGTGTAAGCACTGTGGTAACCAGTGTGAACTTTCCTAAGAAATCTAGGATTGGAGGTCCCATTTGACCCAGCTATTTCTTTTCTGATTATTTTTCCAGAAGAATTTAAAATATTATAGCACAATGATACATGTATACCCATGTTTATTGCAGCACAATTTGTAATATTTCAGTCTTGGAAACAACCCAAATGTCCATCAACTGAAGAATGGATAAAAACATGTGGATACATTTGAGACATTTATGGGTACAACTTGAGATCATATTCTTAAGTGAAATAAATCAGACTCAACATGTGTAAATATTGCAGTCTCTCTCTGGTGTGAGAAACAAAGAGGAAATGAGAACAAAACATACAATATGTATTGTGCAAATGGAAGATATTGTTCAAAAGGAAATAGAAATTAGGAAAGTGAAGGGGGAATGAAGAAGGGAAATGGACAATTACAAAAATAGACAATTACAAAGAAAGGTAAAATGGAAAAAAAAGTTTTGTAAATATTGAAGTGAAAAGAGTTTCAAAGGAGAATAAGGATGAGGTTAAAAACAAGAATCAAAATATGTCATGTAAAGGTTGAAGTTCCCTGTGATGATGATGATCATTCTGTATATTTAAAATTTACTAATAAAGTTACTTTAAAAAATAAAATAAAAATGTTGAAAACTTTTATTCTAAAATCAGGAACAAGAGAAGATGTCCACTATCACCTCTCCTGTTAAATATAGTTCTTGAAACATTAGCCAGACCAGTTAGTGAAGAGAAAAGAAATAAACAGTTCAAATATTATTTATAGGTGATAGGATACTCTACATAGAAGACCCCAAAATCTCCACCAAAGTACTTGTAAGATTTAATAACCAAATTCAACAGCATAGCTGGATACAGTGGCAGCCCTCAAAAATCAATAGCATTTCTGGGCTAGGGATTTAACTAAGCGGCGTAAGTGCCTGCCTACTATGAGCAAGGTTATGAGTTCAATTCTGGGTACAAAAAATTTTTTGATGAAAAAAATTTTAAAGATCAATAGTATTCCTGTAGTCAAATAGCAAACTCACTGAGAGAGAAATTAAGGAAAGTACATCTTTCAGGAAAGCATCAGAAAAATAAAATACTTAGGAATCAATCTAAAGAAGGAAGTAAAAGATGTTTACATTTGAAACTACAGTACTCTGAATAAAGAGATGTAATAGGATATCAGAAAGTAGAAAGATAGCCCTTGTCTCAGGTATATACTCAGAATGAATATACTGGAAATGACCATGTTTACAAAATCACTATAGAAATTTAATGCCATCTGAGTCAAAATACCAACAACATACCTTATACAATTAGAGAAAATAGTCCTAAAATTCATTTGGAACCAGAAGAGATCTACAATAGCAAAAGTGATTCTAGACAACAAAGGCAATGCAGGGACATCACAATCCCTTACTTGAAATTGTACTACAAAGAGCTACTGTGATAAATACAGCATGGTACTGGCAAAAACCAAAAAATATACTTGATGGTCGATGGAAGATTAGAAGATACAGAAACAACTCCAAATACACTCAGTTGTCTTATCTTTGACAATGAGGTCAATCCTTAATAAATGTTGCTTGGAAAATTGGCTTTCCACATGCCAAAGACTAAACTTAGACCCATATTTCTCACCATATGCTCAAATAAAATTGAAATGGATCAAAAACCTAAATATAAAACAGAAACCCTAAATCTATTGGAAGGTAGAATAGGGAGAAGTCTTGAAGATATGGGTGTATGCAAAGACTATGAAAAGAACTCCAATCACACAGATAATGTACTTCGAAGAATCAACAGCTGGGATCTCATCTTATTAAAGAGCTTTTATAGAGCAACAGAAACAACTGGCAGAATGAATAGACAACACATAGGGAGGGAAAAATTTTGTTTGCCATTGTTTCTCAGACAATTCTACAGCTTTTCCCAGCTTCACAAACCACCTATATTCCTTGGCTCATAGATCATAACTCCATCCTCAAAAACCAGCAATGTAGCACCTTCAAACTTATCTCTCCTCTGATGTCTGTTACTATGGTCTCCTTCCCTGAATCTGAATTTGGTCTTTTGCCCTCTATGATTACATTGGGTTTATCTGAAAAATCCAGGATAATCTCCTCTTACTATCTTTAATTCCACCATAGATTTCCTTTCCCAATGGTTAAAAAATTCATGTGTATTATTATTCAGCACATTGTAAAAATGTTGTAGTGTTGGCTATGTACATCGTTTAGTTAGTGAACTTGGAAAAAAATTGCAGAAATGAGAAGTATCTGGAATTGTTAGGAGATGAAGTGAACATTGTAAAAAGAAAGATGTAAGAAAGAATTGGAAAAAGAAAGACTGAGAATTGCTAAAGACTTTCTGTACTGTGGCATTCTGAAGCTTTACAATAAATAGTTATAAGATGAAATTCTGACTCTATTATATATACACAAGATAAATACAATTGTTATATCGGAAGAAACAGTGTGAAGGTTGAAATAGCACACATGAAGGACAATAAAATTTAAAATCTATATTTTTATTATCAATTTTGAAAATATTGCCATTTTTAAAGACAAAAGCAGCACTTTTATTTTTGAAAACCTCAGCAGTAAGTTGGAATCTTCTTTCCCTGAAGATGGTCACATTCGGTTAGAAACCACTGCAGGGCATAGATGCCCAGGGCCAACTTGCCCAGAATCACAGCCCCATCTGCTCATTGGCCCAGTCTGTTTACTGTGAAAACACAAGATTCATTTTGGTAAGTTCTTCCAAGAAAAAGCATTTACTTATACAGCACACTAATAAATATTTACACTAAAAACCAGATACAACAGAAGAAAAAAGTCATTTTTTTCTCATTGTCTTTGTACGTAAAGTCAATTCAAAATGCATACGCCAATCCCAGTCTGGCTTGGTCTTCACCTCTGGAAGAAGGACAGTGTGAAGGCTCCAGCAAGTGCACCAGAACATCAGTGAGGCACTGCAGGTACATGGCGTTCCATCAGCGGCACAGCAAGGGCAGCCAGCCAGATGATTGCCTGAGTCTCAAGTGCAACATTTACAGGCCTGCACATCCATAAATGAGCCCACACTAGCTACTGATATAAAATGCTTCCACGGTTTTCTGACATGCTACGTGTCTGTGCCATTCCAGCAGTATTTCTCTGGGGAGATGGAAGATGACAGCCATGCATCGAACTATGTGCCCGAGGATACTTACGTTTTCCCACTTCAGTTACTATACTAAAAATCATAAACTTTCTTCTGTGTTATTAAACAAAGTGTTAACAATTTCAAGGTTGTAGCATTTTTTTATTTGAATACCCCTTCCAAGGCTTGATAAACTTCTTTTTCTATTTTAAAAGGTGGATGGATGGATGGATGGATGGATGGATGGATGGATAGATGGGTTCGTGGATAGTTAGGTGGACAGCCAGCTATAGAAGATGGACAAACTGATCAAGTAAATCTGTCTAAGTGTACAAACAAGCACTCTGACATACAGCACTGTGCTCAGCTGTCAGGCTCATTCAGTTATTTCACAAGAGCATTAGACAGAAAATCAAGGTAAATAAAACAGCATAGAAATGCTCAAGAATGGGTATTTTTATTTTGCTGCTTTTTACTTTTTGTTGTTTTGTTTTCTCCAAGAAGTAAACACAGTATAACTGAGGTATTTGTTTTTAACAAACTACAAATATGCTTCTTTTAAACCACTTTTTCCTAAGATAGATATCTGCAGGCCTACTGCTAAGAGCCATCGTTCCAGACATAGCCAGGAGCCCTGACACATAGACTACGTTGGCGACAGCAGTAGGTCTACAGAGACAGGCAGAACACAGTGCTGTCCAGTCAGCCCCAAGCTACCTGTAGGGAAAACACTTCCTAGAGATTTCACCTCAATCATAATGAGTATCTCATTTCAAAATGGTAAGGAATAATAGAAACCTAGGAATAGTAGAAACACCTAGGAATAATAGAAAAGAGGCACGTCAGTGTATACTTTTAACTTTATATCAAACAGTTAACATTTTCCAAACAAAATTATCAAGTGACTGAAATTCACCTTTATATCATTTCTTTAATCTTTGAACTAAAAATGCAAATTTTTGAAAGAAATAATGATGAATATTTAGAAGTTCAGTAAACATAATAAAATCCAGAAAAAGCAAAGTTACTATCAAATGCACCCAGGAGGCTTTTCCTCCATCAGCAATGGTGGACATGCATCTGAGGTACCATTTGACTCTCCAACATAACTTTTGCTTTTCCAGTATGTAATTTGTTACTTTTTTAAATTTAGTAAGATAAAGTTTAACTTGCAAGCTAAACAGAATTTATCATAACCCTTGAAAAATTTATCTTGCCTCCAGGGCTATAAGCTCCTACTGGTAGAAGAGCATAGCACATCTGCCAAGGGCATCATAGACTGCTTTGTGTTGAACACAGAGGAAAATGTGGAGATCCCAAAACAGAACTGCAGCTGAGGGTAGCACAGAAATACTTTGTGACTGACTGCAAGTCATTGTGGGATGACATCACAAATTCACATGTTCAGCAAGCATGGATTGCAGTAGGTAGACATTCCACTTAAGGCAACCAAACGCAGACATGCATATGCTCACCCTGGGAGCCACAGTGTATCAGGATATCAGGTGGGAAATGCAGGCAGTGGGTTCCTACTGTAATGCTGGAGGCTTTGGCAACTGATTGGGGTGAACAGAAGGGTACCAGGCCTGGCCAATCCAAAAGCTTATGCAGTAGTGCATACATTTGGCACCATGGCTTGCCCTGCTCATTCTACCTTCTCCTGGGTGTCTGTCAGGTGACCCTTGCTCTGCTGCCGGATGCTAATCAGCTTCTCTGCTGACTGCAGACTTCTGTAGGAATTAGCTGCAGAGCTGAACAGGCTCATGTACATGTTGGAACCTTTTGCATCACCCTCCCAACCTGACCAGCTCTGGCAGTCACTCAAAGTGTCCCTTGTATCAGCTGCCACATCTTCAAAAGCAAGTCTTAGAGTTTCCCAATCTTCAATCTCATCTGGTTTCTTACTTGTGTGTTCTGTTTTAAAACCAAATTGTACCAAAATTCAGATTTCTTCTCTGACTTCAACTCTTAATCGTTACTTCTTTTGGACTTGGTAGATTTACATCTTTTAAGGAGATGTTGTTCATCATTCTTAATAAACAAAGAAATCACATGTTTCCAACCTCAGAAACTTTTCTTTGAACCTATGCTGGAGTACCCGTAGTACCTGGTGGTGGCTCCCCCTGAGGCCTATCCTTCTCCTTGGAGTCTTGTCCAGAAGCTCCTGCCCTGACTCAGCTTCTATAGGCTCCGTGCGGGCCCTTTGACTGTGGGATGTGGCCTGAGTCTCTAGCATGGCCACAATATTGCTATTTTTCATTGGAATTACTTTTATCTTTATGGCAAGCAATCTTCTTAAATACAAAAATATTAGGCATATAATGAAATGAGTTGTGTAGCTATGATAGAAACTCTAAAATTAACACATGCATTTAGGTATAAATGCTTCTGGTTAAATTATGGGATATGTTGATAATTTTGGTAGTGTCTGTGTTGGTTGATGTAGAAAAATGTATGAGAATTTCATTCCTCCAACATTACACAAGTGTCCGTAAGATAATGGGCAGTGCCTAACACACAAAGACCTTACACATCTAGTTATTTACAACAGGTAGAATGCACTGTAATAACTCCAATTGGAAAGAGGATTATTTCTTCAATTGGTATTATTGGTATATATTAATTATTCATTTATATATTCATTGATATATACGAGATTTTCAGGATATATATTGAAAGTTGGATATTAAAAACCAGTCATTCAAGGCCCTACTTCTATACTTTTTTTGGTACTGGGGATCAAACTCATGATCTTGTGCTTGCCAGGCAGGTGCTTATGCCACTGAGCTAAACTCCCAGCCCAAGGCCCTACTTCTAAAAGGCACAAAATCTCAGTAAAAAGGTAATCATATAAGTTTATAGATCTTAAAGGATAAGTTACTTACTTAAGGTCACAGAACCAATAGTGGTGGTAATAAATTGTCCATGCTAGTTCTGCTGAATCTATGGTCCTATACTGTTCTTTTAAACCAAGCTTATTCTTTGTTAGTCTCCATTTTAACTCCCTTCTTTCCCTTCCCCTGCTTGCTTATAAATCACTAAATTACGTATAATAAGTTAATAGATTTGTGTGTTCCAAGATGACTAAAAGCCTCCTTGTGTTCTCCTAGTGTATATCCTAGTGAACTATGGAACAAAAGCTCTTCTCACTTGTGAGTGAGATAGGACCTTAAGAGAAGGCTTTCACCTTCCTTTTCCCACCTAATAGCTGTTCCAGAGGACTTTACTTAAAGGATAACAGAGGAACAACACCAGCTTCCCATATTTTCAAATTAGTTAAGCAAAGTTGTATTATCCTCAGAGGAGGTCTCTGTCACTATTCATGCTGTATAAAATTTGTGCTGTATAAAAATGTCAAGTTTTTGGACCCCAAGTTAGTTGGTATCAGTATAGATCCTCTGAACTATAACATAATCTGTTAATGGATACTAAAGATTTATAAATTCTTAGTTTTTCCAGATAGCCTCCTATTTTGAAGAAAAGGTGATTTGTGTTAGTAGTAGTGGATTCTACATTTCAGTAATTGTAACATAGACAGGGGGACCGTTTTTAGAATCCAAAAAGGCTAGATATCAATTAAAGTTTCACCACTTAAGTACCTAAATTACCTAAATCATCTCATCTTATTTCTTCAACTGTAAAAAAAGAATTATATCCCTCTCTAAGGAATTTTGAAAATAATAAATTTAAAGAGTTAGACACAGAGTTGGTAATCAATGTAGGATAATAGTATGATGATCTGTTTATGTGGTTTCCTTGTATTGTTGTGCTCTTCTTGGCATGAACTCTTTTTGGTTTTATAGATAGAATTTTAATCCATTTTTATTTACTTTTAGTACAGGTTGTGAATCATTTTTGTATCTTTTAAACTCTTAGAACATACTTAAAATACAGAATCAGTGAATCACTGTAGAGGACAACTGACCCGATCTCAGTCTTTCCATCTGAGAAATAGGTGAATACTTTAACTCTGAGGTTTTGCAGTTCTTCATAAATCGTTCATCCATCTTATGCTGAGACTAATATCTTTTATACAAAAAATAAAATTTTGCTGAGCCGTGGCTGTTATCATGATGTTTTTTTATTTGTGATGTTGAACTACATGGGTCTTGAACTTGACTACAGCATTTATAGTCCTCAAATCCAGAAAGGCTACAAGACATGGTATCTTACTGTATCATGAGTGTGTGTGAGTGTGTGTGTGTGTATGCATATGTGTGTTATCCAGGAAGAAGATGCAGTTTAGAGCCTCACACATGCTAGGAAAGAGCTCTGAACTAAAATCTCCTAGTCAGTGATGGTGAACCCATGGCGCATGTGATGCAGTGGGTTGTTTGTATCACTGAAAGCTCTAAAAGGACCTACGTTGTTTTATCCCAACCCTATCTCTCTTGTATTATTGTTTATTACCACTGCATGTCAGTAGTGAATGATGATGGGGCTTATTTTGGTAAGCTGGTCAATGCACTTAAAAAAACTTAATCAATTTTCATTCCCGTTACCACCCTTTCTCTTTCCACTCCCTCCTTCTCATTCTCTACTCTATGCCTAAAAGTCTACCTCCTAATTTTGTATCATCTTTTTCAATTATTTATTAATTTATATATTGTTTCAATTTTTGCTATACCAGAAAACAAGTGGCATTTAAATTTCTCAGTCTGGCTCATTTTATTATTATGATGATTTCTAGTTCCATATTCTTACAAGTGATATAATTTTATTCTTCTTTGTAGTTGAGTAATGCTCCATTTTGTACATATACAGCACACTTTCTTGATTCATTCATCTATTGATGGGCATCTGGGCTGTTTTCATAACTTAGTTATTGCAAATTGTGCTGTTTTAATATGAGTATTTGTGTGTTGTTATAGTTTGCATGCTTAAAGGTTCTAGAAATTTGTGCAAGAGTGTGACAATTGAGTCAAAAGACCTTTCTATTTTATTTATTAAAGGAATTTCCATACTGTCTATAGTAGTTTATTACCAACAATGTAATAGAGTTCTTTTTCTGCCTGCATCCTCATCAGAATTTATTATATTTGTGATGATAGCTATTTTCACTGGGGTGAAAAGAAATACCAATGTAGATTTAATTCGTATTTCTGTGATAGCTAGAGAAAATGAACATTTTTTTTCATGTACTTTTGTGTCATTCAAACTTCTTTTGAGAAGTTCCTATTCAACTCATTTTTGCCACATTTTTGTTGGAGTCAATATATTACTGGGGTTAATTTTTTTAAAGTTCTTTATATATTCTATGGGCCACTGACAGAGTGGGGACAGCCAGACCCAAGGCTTTCTCCTTGTGTCAGTGCCATTCTCAAACTGGGTGGGGAGGAGAGAACCAGGCCTCAACCAGGAGGTGATCCCACCTGGAACCCAGTGCCATGTGCAGGCCACTTCCAGAGTGGGAACAGCCAGACCCAAGCCTTTCTCTATGAGTCAATGCCATTCACGGCCTGTGGGGGGAGAGAACCAGGCCTTCCCAGGAGGTGATCCATGCCTGGAAATCAGCATTATGTGAGGGCTACTGCCACAGTGGGGACAGCCACATTCAAGCCTCTCTCCATGAGTCATTGCCATTAGCAGACTGAGGAGAGACAAGGCCTCATCAGGAAGCGATCCTTGCCTGAAAAACCATATCATTTTCATCGTTTTGTTAGGCTGAGTTTTATTCTTTATTTGTTTGTTTGTTTATGTTAAATCTGATGGCATGATCAGCTATTTAAAAGATAGCAAGACAAATTATGGCAGCCATTTTAGATTTACTGTTGGCTTGTTTTGAAGTCTGTTTTGTTTTTATTGTTTCTATTCTATTCTGTTCAATTTTTGCTAGGTCTGAATTATTGGAAGCCATTTTGAAGACAAAAGGCATTAAGGTATCTATTGTTGATTTTGTAAGGTTTTGAAGACCTGTTTCATTTGTACTGGTTTATTTTGACTGGTTTTTATTCTGTTTTATTTTTCTTGGCTTTATCCTCTTTAAAATAAAAATAAATAAATATTCTATATATTAATCCTCTATTAGAAGAGTATCTACCAAATATTTTCTCCTATTCAATAGGTTCTCTTTTCACTTTCTTTTTCCTGTTACCATACAGAAACTTTTGAATTTAGTGTAGCCCCATTTGTTGATACCTGATATTATTACATATGATTCTGGAATCCTTTTCAGGAAGTATTTGCCTATGTGAATTTTTTAGAGCATTTCTCCTACATTGTCTTCCATTTTGATTTAATTTTAGAATAGGTCAAGACATAAGGTTCTAATTTCAGCTTTATGTATGTGCCTTTCCAGTTTTTCTAGCATCATTCATTAATGTTTTTGGCCCCTGTATCAGTAACTATTTTCATTACTTGGACAACTTTCCCAATACCCAAAGTTAAAGGAGGAAAATTTATTTCAGCTCACAGTTTGTAGAGGCTTCATTCCATAGTCATCTCGTTGCAAGACAGGGTGACTTGGCAGAGTGACATCGCACAGGATAAACAGCCCTGGCATGGCAAGCAAGAGGCAGCAGAATCAAGCAGGAGGAAGCAACAACAATCTTCCCTTTCCCTTTTATCCCATCTAGGCTATAAGCCTTTTGGGTGGTGCCACCCACACCAGAGTGAGCTTTCCATTACCCACATCCAGAACCATGATAAACCAATTAGCAGGCTAGTTTAGTTACCACATCCATAGTTACACACCATAGATCAAGCTACCTCTGAAAAGTCTCACTTATGAGGCAGGGTACTTTGTGGGGAGCATCTAGATACAACCCATAACTACTCTTTTGTCAAAACTAAGATGGATTTCAGGTGCATGAATTTATTTGTGTCTTCTATTCCACTGGATAATATTTCTGGTTTTGTGCCAATACCATGTGGTTTTTGTTACTATAGCATTTGTTACTATAGTGATGCCTCCAATATTTCTCTTTTTCATTAGCATTGCTTTGACTCGTCTGGGTCTTTTCCAGCTACAAATTAAATCCAGCATTGCCTTTTCTAGATCTATAGATAATATTTTTGGTATTTTAATAGTGATTAGGTTGAATCCACATATTTGTTTTGGTAATGTGGCCATTTTAACAACATTAATTCTGTCAATCTAAGGACACAATATGTCTTTTCACTTTCTGCTTGCCACTTTGCTGAATGTGGTTATCAGATCTGAAAGGCTTTTGATGGAGCTTTTTGGGTATTCTATGTAAAGTAATGTATCATCTACAAATACAGATAGTTTGACTAACTTTTTATATTTTCTTGGTTCACTGTAGGTAGGTCAGATGTACATAGGAATTCATTCATTTCTTTCAAATTCTCCACTTTGTTGGAATATAAATTTTTTTGGAATATAAATTTTATAAATAATTACTGATGTTCCTCTGGGCTTCAGTGATGTGTATTGCAATTTTGAATTTTTTCATTCCTAATTCTATTAACTTTAACTTCTCTCTTCCTTTTGTTTAGTAAATTTGTCTAGGGATTTAACAAGCTTGGATATCTTTCCAAAGAACCAATTATGAGGGTTTTTTGACCCTTGTATTGTTTTTTACTTTAGTTTCAATTTCATTCATTTTCAACTGTTTCTTTTCTTCTACTTGTTTTGGGTTTGATTTTTCTTGTCTTTCTAGGAACATGAGATGTAGCATTTGGTTATTTATCTGGATTCATGCTTTTCCTAATGCATGGCTATATGACTCCCTTCAGCCACACCTACAACTAGTGAAGGAAAACCATGAGCTCAATATATCAATATAAAATCTAAAGCCTTCTGGCTCTAAGGAGAATAAAAGGAAAATAAGGAGCTCAAAGATTCAAATTCCCAGATCCAGACAGAGATAAGAACTTTCAAGGTTTCTAAGTGTGTTCTGAAAGAGAATTTCCTCTGTTAGTGACAAGGCTGAGACAGCAGAAACCCAAACACAATTCCTCATAATTCAATCAACTGCACTACACTATAAATTTAATGCTCAACCTCGAAGGGTATCTGAAGCAAAGGCAAGGGCACTAATTGGCAAAGAGTGAGATCCTGTAAACTGGTTTGGAGATGTGGGAGTATCATGAGGAAGCTAAGGATGTTGAGTTTCCAGATGCTAATGAGATTATTTTGTCTGAGAAAGAGATTTCCCCACCCGCAGTACCCTAGGCATCCCCACCTCCACTCACTGAGGTGTTTTGACCTCTTCTAGTATACCTTGGAAACTAATCCTGTTTGATCAAGCAAGATGACACCGATTCTCCTCAGGACCACTATCACCACTTATTTTTGCCTCTAGTCCTATAACTAGGCTCAAATCACAGAAGGTGCCTCAGGTTGAGGTACATAGTGGGACCCATGAAGAGGTCTGCCATTCTCCAAAAGAACTTGAATTTTCGAACTTTCACAAGCAGATGTCTAATGAGCAAGTGTGGGATAGATTTTATGAGTATGGGATGATAGTGGCAGAAATATATACCTGGATCAGGCTGTGTTTGTTCTAATGTGCCAATTAAGCAGGGATTCTGAATTTAATGTTGCAGCTCATGGAGTAAAGTGTGAATAGTTCACTTGCCTGTTTGGCAGAAATACTGATCAAAAGATGAACCTCTATGAAAAGTTAGAAATGCCTGATGACCCTCTATGAAAAGTTAGAAATGCCTGATATTCCTCACTTTACTACTGATGAGGCAATTCAGAGTCTTAAGGAAATGGAAATGCTGGAATGGATCTATCATGTTAAACCTAATCCTCCACATTGAGGTGATCCAGATAATGGATCATCATTAATATCTTGAGAAACAATTATGAGATGAGCACCAGCATCCCTGAAGAGCCATGTCATTGCTCTTCTCTGTATGCCAGACCTTACCGTGGGGACTATGGTTACTCAATTGGGAAAGTGAAGGGCCATAAGCTTGTTTGGATCCCAGAGTGGCAGAGGTCAAGTGGCTGCACTTAATTGCCAGAGGCAGGATCCACATACTTACTATAATGAACAACAGAAGCCAAACAATGACTAGAATAATACGACTCATGTAGACATATGGCATTGGCTGATTAGCCATGATGTTCTCCAAAGTGAAAGAAGGAGACTACAAAAATTTGTACTAGATTTATACAATCAAAGAAATTTAAGGGCAAGTGAATTGGATCCTACTTCAAATCGTGATAAAAGGGTAAAATCGTGACCCCTCAACCAGTTTGAGACAGTTTTTTTTTTCAAAAAAATAAAAATAGAAAGAAAGGTTGTAAATGACACAAAATTTCAAAAAAATATTAGGGAATCAACATTCGTTAATATATTACATATTGTTATCTTAGAACTAGTTGTTCAGGTTATAAAGTCTAGGCATAAAAAATGATCAATCCAACAGGGAACAGCTCAAGCTATTCTTTTCAATGGTGAAGGAATGGGTCACTTCACTAGGGAAAGAAACAAGCACCTGCTGAGGTGCTTACTGACATCAAGGGAATATAGAATAGGTAATGGAAGAAGATAGTTCTAAATATCAGCTATGACTCCATGATCAAATACAGGAAAGAGAATTGTAGTTATACTATTTCTCCTAGTAAGTGTCTAATGTAATGCAATGTAATATAATATAATGCAATGCAATACTGATTCTTAAGAATTGTTAAGTCGGGTTGGGGATTTACCTCAGCAGCATAAGCGCCTGCCTTGCAAGTGCATGGTCATGAGTTCGATCCTCAGTACCAATTTAAAAAAAAGAATTGTTAAGTCAGTGTTATAATGTTCAAATTATGAAATGATAAGAGTAAACAACATCCAAAGAAAATTTATCTTCTGTTCTGGCAAGGGAATTAGTGCATTTCCGTTTGCATGCCAGATAGTTACGACATATTAAGTGTGATTATAAACATGTCTTTGTATCTGGAGACTGGTTTAAAGAAATATGTTGGTGGCAGAGGTCCACTGCTATGGAGTAGGACAAGAAATGCAGAGTAAACAGAAGGATCCCAGACAAGTTTTCCACATTTCAGGGAAAACACGGCATAACCACTGATTCATCAAAATATGATTCATCAAATTCAACTATTAAAGGACAATCCACCTCACTGATCAGAATATCTTTGGTTTTTGTTTTGTTTTGTTTTTTGTCATGTTAGTAAGGGAAGAATAACCATCAGAACAGAAAAACTTCTGCAAAGAGGCTAAAAACTGCTTAGGCTTTTAGTTTGGTATTTTTAAGCTAACTGATAGATCATGAGAGAAGAGAAGAGGTATTTATACATAAAAAGTAGAATTTAGGGTCTTCAGAGAAGCCAGGATCCATGTTACCCATGACTGCCTTAAGTGTCATAGGCTGTGAAGACAAACATTTCTCCAATAAAATGTGTGGCTCCATCAACTAAATCAGCTGAGTGGCTTGATTTTCAACTGCAGAAAAAAATTAACAATAGCACTTACAAAAAATGTTTAGTTGGTGTCACTGTGAGGAGAGAACCATTTGCATACATTATCAGTAGTGTGCAGTGAGCCAATCTTTCTGGAAATCAGATTGTGCCAAAGATTAAATACACAGGATCATCAAATCAGTAACACCTTTTCAATAATTTATACACAAAATAAACTGAAATTAATTCATTCATTTATTGTCATTAATTAGCAAGTAAAACTGTTCACTCATGTGCTGTAATTGATGTACAAAAAGTTGTATATATATATTAAACCTTTAAAGATTCCTGAATCTATTTAATAAGACTATTTTTATCCATTTTTTAGAAAAGTGTGTGGTGAGTCTTGAAGTTGGCCCAGAGTTGGTCTTCTAGGGTCCTGGACAGGGCTCCTGGATGGCCTGTGGAAAATGTTCTACCTAGGAGTGAAAGGATCATGGGATGAGGGCCTTGGTCTCTAGGGTATTGAGGTCTCTTGCATCCCAGCACACATGCCCTTTAGCCAGTGCCCCCTCCATTCCCACTGCCTTGATGACTCTACTTTAGCACTTGTGCACTGTCTATGCCCCTTTAGGAGAAATATCCTTTCTAAACAATGTGCTTAGAATAGTTTGCATGGGCTCCATTGCTCTTGTATGGCATCCTCTATGCTTCCTTGTCTCTCCCTCACAGGAATACATTTACTTATGGGCAAAATCCCTACTCCCTCCATTTTCTTTTTTCTGCATATCTCATCTCTTCCTGTCCTCCTTACCTTTTATTTGTCAGCTTTCTCTTCTGAGATATCAGTTTCTGAGAGAAAATTAATGTCCAGCTTCTCCATCTCTGCCATCATTCTACACATAGAGTGATTGAAAAGGAGGAAAATGAAGATTAGGTTTAAACAAAAAAAGGAGGAAAAATCTGAGGAATAAAATAGAAAAGGAGAGAGAAAGAGAATAAAGGAAAGGAGGACAGAAGGAAAATAAGAGGCAGGGAAAGGGAGACATTGAAGAGTGGGATAAAGAGAAGGAGAGAAGAAAGGAATGAGAACAGTAATGGTAGAAAAGAGAGAGAAATGGGAGACAGAAAAGGAACTACAGCAAAATAGGGAAGAGGGGGAAGAAGATAGGACAGATTTAGTGTAGAGGAGGAAAGGCAAATGGAGAAGCAATAATAAAAAGGAATTTGGAGGTGGAAATGGGAGAAAGATATGAAAGGAAGAAAGGAAAATCAGAGGGGAGAGAAAGAGAAAGGGAAAGGAGGGGAGAGAGACGGGGTGGGGGGAGAGAGAGAGAGAGGGAGAGACAGAGACAGAGAGAATCTTGGAGGATTTACGTGTCCTCAGATATGTTTCCCAGAATGGGCTGGAACACTCTTCTCTACTTGTAGACAGGCATTCAGGTCCCCAGGATGTTCTCTGCCTACCTCTGCCTCTTATGCTGTAGTTGTTGACGCTGCTCCACAGCTGCCTCCAGGAATTCCTTCAGCTTCCTCTTCTCTTCCTCAAATCTCTGCCTGAAAGGTTTTGAGGTTGTGTTGCATTTCCTACCTCCACCCTTCACCTCTTTCCTTCCATTCTACTGTGAAAAAAGAGCCCTTCACTGGGTACACAGCAGTCTTTTCCATAGAACAGGTGGCTCAACTGACTCTGCAAATCCTCTTGTTTCATCTGTAGTAGCTTCTCTGTGGAAATAAGCAAGGCAGGGTGGGGACTTCTCACCTCTGAGCTTCATTTTCCTTTCTGTTGCATTGCATCAGGAAGTTCTTCAGTGTCTCTATGGGGGAGAAGAACCAAGGGAGCCCTGTGAGACTTCATAAGGATGAAATTAAGTTAGGTAAATTATTATCTAGAAGATGGCAAACAAATTTAAAATAATCCTGATTCTTGCCTCCATACCCCAGAGTCCCTAGCACAGATTGGGCTCCTTGAGGACAAACCTATATCAGTTGATCCTGTTGGTCTTGTCACATAGCAAGAACCTGGAACAACTGCCACATATTTATGTGAGAGGAACAGAATCTTCAGATTCCAGAATAGTTTGTATGTACCTATTACTTTTTCTGTCCTCCACAGGCTGGCTCAGGACAAGAACTCTTTAAGTGTCTATTAGAAATGAGCAGTTTGTTCTGGGATCATTTGCCCTGACCAGTGACACATTTGATTTGGTACACAACAAACACGGATGCATATATACAGTAAAGGTGGGCTTCTAAAAAAAATCCAGGGTGCTCATGTCCTTTTCCTGCCCTTCTGGATGATTACTCTTCCTTCCCAAAATTGGTGGATCAATATGTGGATATACAGGAGGATGAGTAAGTGATGAGATACATGCATGTAGAGATCATGAAGATATGGTTGGATAAAGAACTGATGGTCAGATAGTAGGCTAGGTAAAGAAATTGGTGGGGTAAATGATCTATGAAAGAATAAATGGGTGGATGGGAATTTATTGAAGGACAGACAAAGTTGTGTGGATGAGTGAATTGAGATATGGGAGTAGACAGGATGACAATAAAACATGAATGGCTGGATTGATGTTGTCAATTCTTGGTTAGATGAATGGTTAGACAGATAGTTGAATAGTTAGCTTCAAAATGTGGAGGAATGGAAGAATGGATGCTAGTAGGATAACTGGATGACTAGATGGATGTAAAGATGGTTAACTGCATTAGATACTACTGCTCATAAATTCCTGTCTGACTTTAGCCTGTATAGATAGTTAGGTACTTTCTCTATTTCATAACCTGGTTTCTTCTTACTATTACCCCCAGGCAGTCTCAGCTTAAAAATAATAATCCTTCACCCTGGTAGGCATGAATTCAATTTAGTTCATTCTATAAATACTTATTATGTGCATACATTAGATATCAGACCTTGGGTTCAGGTTGATAAAACCCCAGCAAAATAAAAAGAAGAGTGTTAATTGTCATAAAGGAATCAATAGACTATCAAGCGGATTAATTACTTTGCAATTTATTATGTTCTTATTTACAAAACTTATTGACTATCAGTTATGTGACTGTAATTAATGAGTAGAATGTTTCAGCTAATGGAAAATTGAAAAGCTTTGAAGTGTGCCTACCAAAAGTCTGGGAATTATGAGAAGGCTACTATAACCAAAGTGGTCTTAGCCAAGGGAAGTGCTAAAAGGGGAAATGGAGAATTGTAGAGGAAAAAGAGCTAGGTAACATCTAGTCTGCAGGATAGGCTATCTTGACAGGATATCTGTTTTTACTGTGCATGAAGTTGGAAGGGGTCTTTACTACAGAATGGAATATATGAATATGGCTTAATTTATGTTTCAATAAGGTTCATCTATAGTGGCAGTAAGTTTTGTAGTGGCTGTTGCTAAAGCAAAGTAAGACAGCACAGTTATTAAATACAGTACCTAGCCTTTTCCTCATGGTCTCCTCCAGAAGCAGCTGCTCTGCATTCACTGAAAGAAAAACAGTGACAGCTTCAGAACTCAGAGACCACACACTGACCTCCTCCTACAACTCCAGTTTCAGGGTGAGGACTTCTGTGATTTCACGCAAAAAAATCTTATGGAGATCCAGGAGAGGGCAAAATATCTTCATTTTATATCATTTGTTTTGCTGTTTACTCTAAAACCATTTCATCTCTATGTGTGCACATGTTCACTGTTACAGCTAAAGAACCATGGCATTTAGAAGAGGCACTGTGAATAAGATGCAGAATGAACTTAGTTTTACATAGACTTATACTGCATTAGTGAGTTATAATACATATTCTCAGGTGGAGATAAGGAGTACAACCAAAAAAGAAAGTCAAGCAGGGAAAAGGAAATCAGGAGTGAACAGGTTACATGGTCAGGTGCTATCTTCTATTAGAACATAAGCACACGAGGCTTGAACTGAAAGTGGGATTTCTAGAGGTAATAGGAAACCATCTAGAAAATCTAAGGGTAACAGGAAGTGGGAATGTAAAGACCCAATCATTATAGAAATCAGTATGTAAATTTCCTCAAAAACTAAAACTATAAATTCCATTCAATTTATGGTAGCTATTTCCTTTCTAGATATCTTCCCTAAAGAGTTACAGATATCGTATTATAGTGATACACGCATACCCATGTTAATAGCAACACAATTCATTATAGCTAAAACTTGGAAGCAGTGTATATGTCCATTAACAGGTGAATGAATAAACGAAACATGGTATTGATATACAATGGAACACTACTCTGCCATAAAGGATAAACGAGTCATTTGTAGAAAAATTGATGCACCTTGAGATCATAATGTCAAGTGAAATAAGACACACAAGCCTATATACAATGTAGTTTCTCTTACATGAGGAAGCCTAAATGTAAATAAAGAGCAAAATAATAGATAATAGGAACTAGGTAGAGAAACCTTTTTCAAATGGAAAGGGGTTGAAGAGATAGAGGGAGGGGTGAAGGAAAGGAAGAGTATTTAAAAAACTGAGATATATTATGTGCATGTACCAACGTCCAATGAGGAATGCAAATATGCACTAAAAATAAATTGAGGAAAACTTTAAAAAGAGGACTGCAGCAGAGAGAAACAATAATAAAGGCCCTAAAGAGGAGGGGAGAGTGTGCTCTGTGACTGTTTTGTTGTCATTAAAATGAGAAGGGAGTGAGGGGTAGAAATTTAACCCAAAGAGGTGGCAGAATATCCTAAATGGGCCTTAGGGAACATTACCTAGAGTTTAGGAAAGGCAGAAGAATTTCAGATTTAGACATATCAATGGACTTCACTGTCTTTTTGTCACACCACTTACATGAATCTAATATCTTCTTTTTGGTCTCCCAGAAAGCATGGGCTTCTATTATCTCTTCTTTGACTTTTTGTTTCACTAGGTCAGAAAAAAGAAAAATACTGAGTAAGCAAAGCACCTGATTCTTTGTTTCCTTCTCAGTCTGTATTTTTTTTTATGGTCAAAGGGATTGAACTCATGACCTCGAGCTTGTCAGGCAGGTGCTTATACTGCAGAGCCAAATCCATGCTTATAGTACAGAGCCAAATACCCAGTCCCCCTCTCTGCTCCTTCTCACATGGCATTTCCAATTACAAAAACAGCCCCAGATGATAACACACAGAAACTTCAAAGTCCAGGGCTATTTCTCTGAGCTAAGTTAGGCAACCAAGGCTTTTGAGCTCACATTTTTGAAACTCCTTTACTCGATTAACCAGGTCCTTGATCTGTGGATCCAGATTTTCTGCTGTAAAAGGAAAGACAGATTGAATTGGAGACAGTCATATGAAACCAAGTGAAAATGGGATAGGTACTTTCACTCTACATGCATTATTGTCTGCTGTGTCAGAAGATGTGCAGGACACATGTGGGCTTTTATTATTGGAGCACAATAAAAACAGTGAACAGAGAAGCAGATAACAATATTTGACATCATGTTAGGAGGTGGTAAGTATGTTGTAAAAATAAAGAAAACGGTGAAAGACTGAGTAGAGACAGAGACAGAGTAAAAGAGTAGAATGTGCTTACTCAAGTACAAAAAGAACTTTCTAGGCTCCAAATAAGGAAGATGAGCAAGCTATAGCTTTCAAGGAGTGAAATGTATGGGGACCTTTCTAGATAGAGAAAACAGGAGAGGAAGAAGGAACCCTGAGCTACAGATACAGAAATTACACTGTGTTTCAAGAACAGGGAGGATACTCAATGAACAAGTAGAGAGTATGATATAAAGTGGAATGAAGGGAAGTCTTGTATGGCCTTGTAATCCAAAGTAAGAGATTTCTAGATTTTACCCTGGATATTGTTAAACACCAACAGAGATCTCACTGCATTCTCAACTTGTTAAGATCCCTGGCGGTTGATGTGGGGAAAGCTCTGACTACAGGATTGGCCCTGTTATACAAAAAATAATGCTGCCTCCTTGCATGTTTAATGGTAGCTTTTAAGACCCTAGTGAAGGGAAATATAGTTTTTCTTTCAGGATTTTTCTATAGTTTCCTCTAGTTTAGACTTCTAACAGCTTTTTAGATTTCAGTGATACGAGCTGAGAAGCACTGTATCCTCTTAGTTCTATGATCACCCATACAAAGTTGGGTAACTAACCTTGAAATAAAACACCACAACTGTCTCTGGGCTGAGATGTCAACTCTCCAAGAATTGCTAGACCTCAAGCACCCAGTTTTTGCTGTAAGTCAGGGTTCTACCTGCAATATATAGAACTTAACAATTTTACTTCTAGCATTGTGTTTTATAAACTATGGAAATATAAGGATATTCTTCATCTCCAACTATTTAAAAAGTTGGAGATGTTTACAATGCTCATTTGTGTTTATTTCCTAGGCTGGACCTTGGATTGCCCTGCCCTCTGCCCCATAGCAGGAACTGGGTGTTTCCAAACCTAGGTATATCCAGAGTCAACTCCAGAGAGGCCACAAAAAGCCTAAAGAGTTATAAGAACAGGCCTTTGGGATTTTAAAGTCACCAACTGGGTTATCTGAACTTTAGGTAAGGTATCACTTTATGTGGCACTAATATTAATTTTGAACACTGCCATCCCTAAGACATTTCACTTTCCTGAGAAAGTTAGGGTGCTTCTTGCAGTTGTTCTGGGATCTCTCTGCCTAATTTTTGCTTCCACAGCAGATCCTATATGGTTTTCTGCCACTTTTATGTTGAAGTAGGGAACATCACATTTATATTTGTCTATAATTAAGTCACCTCTGGAATGATACATAAATTATCTGAGAACAGTAGTGACTTTCCAGCCTGTAAGAAGACAAATGGGAGACCGCAAGTTTAGGAAAATAATTTACCTATCTTACACAATTTATTGAATTATGTATAAAGTAATTTTTGCTCAGAGAATTAAATTATAAGATGAAAAGCAAAATTAGATAATTTCCTAATATCTGAATTTTCCAAGGGCTGGTTCTGAACTCTGTTCCCATCCCCAAGCCCAGGATTAAATCAGGTACAAGAAGATACATGACCATGCTGTAGTGTTTCAGCCATCTCCATAAGCTCTTCTAACTTCATTGAGTTGGATTGTCCTGTGGAGGCAAAAATCAGAATTACTGTATAGGACCTTTTGATGACAAAACAGCAAGAAAAGAGCCTGATTCATTTGAAAGTAGAAGGGAGGAACTCCCCAAATGGATTTAACTATTTTAAAAGCAAGCCCAGGTTTCCTGATATTTAACAATTAAACATCTTGGGATGCATTTCTGAAACCTAAATATATGCTCTTAGAAATTCACAACTCTATTACAAAGATTAACGAGTTTCCTTAAATATCAGCCCAAACCTAGACATGTACAAATGTTCATAACTGTCCCCAAAATATCTTTTTAAAATTGGTAGATGCAGACATTTCTTAGTATAGAGCTAGTAAAAACATGACCTTCAACTTTAATTTTACTCTCCACTGTTTTTCTAACACCAGGTACAAGATATGGCGAGAGAGAGAGAGAGAGAGAGAGAGAGAGAGAGAGAGAGAGAGAGAGAGAGAGAGAATACTTTTAATACTTAAAATACTTAAAAATAAATGTACTACATATATTAAAATTAACAAGATAAAATCAAGGTGATGGGAGTTAATAGAAAATGATTTTTGTGGTAACATGATTTATCAGTCTTTCTCAATCAGCACACAAAAAGAGACATCAACTAGATATCAAAAATCAAAAACCCACCAGCAACAAAACATGTCAAATTATTTTCAAGGACCTTGAAATACAAGTAGATGGAGACAAAATCATCAACAGCCACAAGAACACACAGGCATCTGTGTGAGAATAAAAGGAGGAAGCAATGACACAGCATAACATAGACCTAAGACATAAGAGTAAGTAGCCAGCAGACATTCATGGGAAAATACAGCAGAGCAATCTGAGAATAGCATCTGACACTAGTAGTGATTCTGCCCTCTGGAGTGCTTGGTTGGTTTTAGGGTCCAAAGTAAAGACTGCTAGGACATTTGGACCGTTATGTGTGGTGGGCTTTGTTATCTAAAGAGTAAAACTTGACTGCACTGTTTCCCAGTTTCTGTGGTATAAATACTCCCTCCACAGTTAATCTGAAGTTATTGGCATGAGGATATCAAAAACATATTTTTAAAAAAGTGAAATAGCACAATATTACACAAGTTTCTATCACACAAATATAATAGGTATGAATACAGTAGTATCTCTGTACACAGACTTAATTCTATCCACGATTGTCGTCATAGCGAGAACTGAGGTCGTACTGTAATCTTAAGATCATAATTGTACGATGCAATAAAGTGCAAAGCCAAACTTTCTTATGATTTGGTAACATAGCTTCAAAATGCAAAAAATAAAAACTGATAAAGTTTAAAAGAGCAATAGAAAATTTAATTTATGGAGATTTCAGAAACTATCAACAAAACAAATAGGAAAACAAGTAGACAAAAATTTGGTAAGCATATAGAATATTTGAACACTATTAATCAACATGAACTAATTGAAATTTATAGACCATTCATCTCAATAGAACACACATTCTTTTCAAATACTCATAGAACTTTAACCAACACAGACTATACTTGGTGGTCTCCCAGAAAAGATCAAATAAACGATTTTATTTGAAGATTATACAGTATATTCTCAAGTAACACGGGAATAAAGTAGAAATTGTTAATAGACCAGGAAGCACTCAAATACTTGATAAATAAACTATACAGTTCTACACAAAGAGTAGATCAAATTTTAAAAAACAATAAAAATGGAAAAGTGTTTAGAATTTAATTAGAATGAAAATAAAATGTATCAGTGCATGTGTGGTGCATCTGAGACAGTGCTTCAAAGGGAATTACAACTTCAAAGTAAATTACAAATATTATAAAAATAAAGAGGTTTTAAAAAAGATGTTACCATTTCATTCTGAGGAGTAGAAAAGGAAGAAAAGACTAAATTCAAATCTGTATGGAGGACAGAAGAAGGGAAAACAAGCAAAACATAGTTAAAATTAAAAGCTGGTTCTTTGAAGAGAAATCAAAGATACTCCACTAGCCAAAATAATAAAAGGAAAAGAGGAAGATGACAATTACTATTATCCTTTCATTTAAGGACATTACTTAAATCAATCAAAAAGCAAGTGAAATGATGTTTATAGTTATACAGAGTTCTAGGGCCAGGGATTTAGCTCAGTGGTGTAAGCGCCTTCCTGGCAAGCATGAGGTTGTGAGTTCGATCCCTGGTATGCAAAAAAAAAAAAAAAAAAAAAATTATACAGAGTACTTTTAAATACTTAAAAATAAATGTACCAGAATTTCACAAGATAAAATTGAGATGATGGAAGTTAACAGAAAATGGAGTGAAGAGTTAAAGGAGTAAAGAGAGCACATCAATATAAATCTTACAGACATTAAAGTCACAAGAAGAGTGTACCTATCATAACTTCATTGCAATAAATCTGATAATTTAGAAGAAATGAACAAATGACTTGAAATGAACTAATAAAGTTTACTCAAGAAGAAATAATTAACTTGTATTGTCTTATATTAGATCACATCTTATATTTGGGTCACTTCTGAATTTCACTAAACATTTACAAATGAAATAATATCAGTTCTATAAAAAAATTTCCAGAAAATTGAAGGGATATGACCATTCCAACTTATCCAATGACAAAAGTCTTATCTGAAAGCAAAAATATACAAAAATAACACGAGGAAAGAAAACTACAGAGTAATATATCTTAGGACCATAACTGTAAAAGTTTTACACAAAAATATTGAATTAAAAATAGAAATATATCATGACTAAGTGTGATTGATCCCAATAATATAATCTTTGTATAGTATTTTAAAATAAACTAATATCATTCATCACATTAACAAATTTTGAAAGAAAAATTATAAATATATAAAAAGAATTTGACAAAATCCAGATTATATTTCTCACAAAAATCTTTCTTCCAATACAGAAATAAGACAAGAATATCTGTCATCAGTAATTCTAGTGTGCTAGAGGTTCTAACTAGTGCAATAGGGCCATATAATGTAAAAGGCACATGACATCATTGTTCTTGTAGAAATTACAAAGAAGTAACAAGAAGAGATAAGTGACAATAGTGAGACTGAAGAATACCATGTAAATAATTAAAATCTAAATGCATTTTAATATATAATCCAGGAACAATCCAGAATTGAAAAAAATTAATTTTGTTTCATTGACTATATGGAATATTTGGAAAAGTCAGAAAATGTGTGTAAGAACTATATTCTGAAACATACAAAATATCAATGAGAGAAATTAAAGGAAACAAATACAAGCACATACAATATTCATGGGTTAGAAGATGCATGACAGCTAAGATGCTAAAACTCTGAATTTATCTACAGGTTCAGTACAATTAATATTCAGCAAGCAGAATTCTACACATTGACAAGCTGACTTTAAAATTCTTATGGGAATTATCTAAAATATCATCTTATAGAAAAGATCGTATGGAAAGGATCTAAAATAGGCAATACATTTTGAAAAAGAATAAATTTGAAGTATTTTTGAATAAATAAATTTGAAGTCCTCTATTTCAAGACTTATAGAGATAGAGCATTGAAGCAGTGAAATATTAACATGAAAATGGATGATAGAAAAATGCAATACAACAGAATTTGGAATGAATCTATACACATATAGGAACAGCTTACTTCAGCAAATGGGAAAAAATAATTCACTAAAGAAAAGAATGTTATTGGGGGCAGGGATGTAGCTCAGCATTATAAGTGTCTGCCTGGCAAGCGTGAGGTTGTGAGTTTGATCCCTGGTACTGAAAAAAAGAAAAGAATGTTTTCAATGAATATGCTGAAACAATTGTATATTTACAGGCTAAAGAATTTAGAATACAATTCACAATAAAGAGTAATTAAAAATGAATCATAGGTTTAAAAATATAACATAAAATCAATCTTTTAGCTTGGTGTAGTAGCACTGAACTATAATCCCTGCACTCTCAGATCCTGAGGCAGAAGAACAAATTTGAGCCCAGCCTGGTCAACTTAAAAACTTAGAACTTGTCTTCAAACAAACAAAGAAACAAACACCAAGTTGGGTGTATAGCTAAGTGTGAGACCCCTGGGTTCAATTTCCAAATGAGCAAGCAAACAAAAGTACTAAAATTTCTAGTACGGTCAAGGGAACACAAGAAAAACTATTTGTGAACTCTGGTTAGGCAAAGATTCCTCAGGTGCAAAAACAAAAGTGGGATTCCCAAAAAACAATTCAATAAAAGATACTTAAAACTTTTACAACTTTTTCTTTTGGAAAGGCACTGTCTCAGAATATGAAGACAAACTATTGAGTGGGAGAAAATATCTACAAAATAATTATGTGACTTGTATTCAGAATAGCTAACACATTTTCAAAACTCAGTGACAAATAAAGAAATACCCTAATATAAAGTGGGAAAAAGGTTGGAGTAGACATTTCACCATAGAATACTGATGGCAAAAAAGCAAGTGAAAAGTTACTCAATATCATTATTCCTTGAAGAAATGTAAGTTTAAACATAATGAGAAACTTCAAATTAATTATGCCAGACATGCTAACTGAAGGTTGCAAAATAACTAACACATGAACACTACTGGTGAAAACTGTTTCGCAGATTAAATTAACCATACACTCAGCCTGATACCTAAGCATTCCAATTATAGGCATTTACCCACAAACAATAGCGTAAGTCCATAAAAATATCTTTAGGTGTATATTCTCAGCAGTAATATTTATAACAGCCAAAATCTGAAAACCCAGATGTTCATGAAAATAAGAACATGTGAATAAATTGTGTCATATTACACAGCGAGCTACTGCTCAAGCATAAAAAGGAATGACTTATTCAATACAACACCACAGGCATATCTCAAAATGATTATGCTGAATGACAGAAGCAGACTAGAGTACAATCATATTATTTTACATATATAAAATTGCAAACTAATCTTTGGCGACAGAAAGATAATTAGTGGTTGGGGATGACAGTAAGACAGGAGGGAGGATTACAAAGATGAACAATGTAGGTATATTTTTTTATTATAGTGGTTTTTTGGGTTTATGTATATGTTGAAAATTATCAAAACCCTGGGCTTCAAACACGTGGAATGACACTTAATAAAACTGTTTAAATAACCTATGTAGTAGTTATGTGGTTTTGATTAGGTATTCTCTTCATTTTTCATTATAAAAACCTTATTTTGTCATTGCTTTAAAATTCATTGTTTATAATATTTTTCTTACTGCAGCATTTTAACCAGAAAAACCTTCCCGCTCTAACTTGGTCCACCAAGCCCAACCTGCCTGACCTGAATGAGGTCTGGACAATTTCACCTTGCTCCCCACCAGCTTGCTGCCAGAACTCTCTCCAAGACCACCCAACCTTTTTACCGTCAATCTTCTCAGTCAAATCCAATGCTCCTGGAGGTACCAATTTGGAGATCTCGGACGTTCTGGCCATCATAAAAAAAAGACAACCTCTCTCCAAGGGTTCTCTGGTACTGTTTCTTTGCGCGGCGCGTAATTATAGCAAACTTGCGCAAGAGGTAACTTGTCTGCAGTCTAAGCCTGCGCAGAACATTTCCTGGCCAAAGATAACAGTAAAAGGTGGAGAGGAATCAGAATCAGTCCCTGGTTTGGACAGTACAGGAAGAAGGAGTGTAGGGGAGCCTTCTCCTTTAAAAAATGATTCAGGCAGGCATAGACAGTGATTTTCTTTATTTCTGGGCTCCGTAGGACCCCAAATTGATACTCGGTCCTGAATCAAACCCCCTGCTCAACCAGACTTTTGTACAGCTTGTAATTCAGACCTACTGCCTCTGAAACCTTAGCAAACCACACATAATTCAAGATGCAAATCCTCTTGGGAGGCAGTTGCCTAATGCATGGTCTGAGGGTGTGATGTCCAAGAGGAAAGGGTGCATATTTTGCTAGAGATGAGAATAGCACCTGATGCATGGTAGGGGGTGAGGTGGGGTGTTGGGGGAACTGGGCACAAGGGCTTTCCACATGTAGATGTGATTTCCTTTTGGAGCATTTAGAACCTCAGTTGATGTGTAGTCCTACTGACCTTACCACAACATGTGCAGATCCTTGGAAATTGCTTACCTGAATGCAGAGGGTACAGCCACAGGCTCCTCCAGCAGTATTCTTTATCTCACCACCCATCACCAAGTGGGCCTAGAGATAATTGGAAAATCAGCTGAGTCAAATCCTTTATGGAGTTACAGGTCTCAGAGATAGGTGCATGCATAAACCTTTATGGCCTGTCTCTTCTGCAAGAGCCAAGCAGGTATCCTTACCTGCTTTTACCTGCTCAGTTTTTAGTTATCTCGGTGTTTGGGACAGGGTCTCACTATGAAGCCTAGACTGGCCTTGAACTGGCAATTCTCCTACCTTAGCCTCCTGAGGGCTGAGATGACAGGTCAGCTTGGTGTTTATTATGCAAGGCCTTTTCTAAGAGATTTACCCTAGTTTTCTTCATTTTGGAAATGTGTATGACACTGAATGAATAAACATTCCTAAAATACAATACTTACAAAACGTATCAAGAGCCAGATGTGGTGGTGTGTGCTTATAATCAGCATTTGGAAGGATGAGGTAGGAGGATAGCTATGAGTCTGAGGCCAGTCTAGACTATATAGTGAGTTTAAGGCCAGCATGAACTACACAATAAGACCCTGTCTCAAAAAACAAAACAAAACAAAATTCCAAAAAGTATCAGGATAAACCCAATATTAAAATAAGTTGATTTCTGTTTGCATGCATTTAAAACTTATATCTATACTACAAAAGAATACACATGCATTTAGAATTTTTGTTGTATTTTTTCTGTCATTTGTGGCACTGCTCAATCTAATAGTTTAGAGAAATTTTACTTAAAGGTTGTTGCTGTTGTTGTCCATACTGTGTTTTGCTCTCCTTTTTTGGAGATAGTACTTTAGTCAACTCACCATGTCCCTTACTATTTTATAATTTCATTTAGCCCCCCCTCACATTTTTTGTTTGTTTTTAGGTCAATTCTTAAGCATTTCTAATGATTATCTGGTCTTTGCTGATTCCATTTTATTTTTAAATTCTATAATAAAAGTTTGCAATTGAAATCAGTATTTCCTACCATCTTGAAGGGGATGGGGGCAATGACTAACAGAATACTACATTTTTTTGCATTTTGTTATTATATGAGATTGGAAGCAGCAGTGTTTTCTAGGTTTTTCTTTGTCCTGATCAGTCAATCGGTCAGGGCAATTGGTGATGTGAAAGATTATCATTTATTTTAGGGCAAAAATCAGAAAAAGAAGCAACACAGAAGTGGTGCTCGGGAGAAAAGCGTGCTTTGAAGGAAAAGCATATTGGACCACTGCAAGAACAAGATGGCAGTGGCCCTGAAATGGCCCTGCAGACATTCTCTTTTGTCTTCTTTGATAGTTGATCCAGGTGGTCCCACGTGATGTTGTGCTAGAAGTTTGATACCAGTTGCCAGGTTTGGCATGGTCTCATAGCAGAAAATTGGTACCAGGTGCAAGGTTCAGCTTGCTCCTGTGTTAGGCTTGACTGTTGCTGGTCTGTGTTTGTGATGGATAAGCAGCCTCAATTGGTAGGTCATTCCCAGCTGCTCCATCCATGATGTCATACCCTAGCCTCCTACTAAATTTCAAGCTGGCATTTTCTTAATTTTAAGCATTTGTTTGTTGGTATAAACCTTTGATTATTTTCAAGAATTTTGAGAATTTTGCTCTGATGTGTTTTGCTTATTTTTCAATGTTTTGTGCAGGGACAAGAGCTTGGAATTGCTTACTTAACTACTTTGTTTATGTTCTATGTTTAACATCTTGAGAAATTCTTCTTCAGAATTCTATCATTAAGTTTTTCAATAATTGTCTTGCACACAAAATTTCCTTACTCCCTATGTTTTGCCAGTCAACACCTACTAGGAATACAGAATGTTAAGTGAACTCGAGGAATTCCTTTGTGGGACTTCTTCACCCACCAAGATTAAATCACTCAGGCAGGTAAACTGGCTATATTCTGTGATCTTCAACTGGAAGTAGATTTTCCACCAAGTTGCACAATCATACAATGTGGGTCACATGTCAGCAAATCTTCCCACTGTGAAAAAATTTCTTCTGAATCTGCTTCCCTCTCCAACTTTTGACCATGGTGGTTTTTGTTGTTGTTGTTGTTTGTCATACTCTTTATTCTTAAAAGATGACTTTACCTGCTATTTCAACAGTCAAAGAAGGCTGTCACTCAGCTTGTTTCCTTTGAGGTACTGGAGATTGAGCTATATCCCCAGTCATTTTACATTAAATTTTTTTTTGAGTTATGATGTTGCTAAGTTGGCCAGGTTGGACTTAAACTTGTGCTCCTGTCTCAGCCCCCCAGAATTCTGGAACTAGAGGCATGAGACACCATGCCCAGGTAAGACTTAGAAATGTAACTTTGTCTGAAATATCTCCTTGTTCTTTCTTCTTGCTGTAGTAAAAAGCAGTATTGCCACCTGATCAAGGACTGATTCATACAAAAAACACCTCTAGATCCTATTTTTTCTGGCTTAATCAGGATATGAATTATATCATTCATCATTGGCTGTTTTCTCTATCACTCATCTATGACTACTCTCTCTAATCAGCACTGAGAGAAAGAAGCTCAGTTCTCTCTCATTAAAAGAATGACAAAAATGTAGACTAACAAAAGCCACTGCATTATCTATCTAATCTGTTGTTTGTTTTTCTTTTTTTGGACCAGGGATGGAACTCCCAGCAGCCAGCTTGCAAGGCAGGCGCTTATGCTGCTGAGCTAAACCCCTGGCCCTCATTATCTAATCTTTTTCTGCCACTTCTTCAAAAATATTAAGTAGTTTGTTTCTCAGATTTTGAAATTTTATTTGTATTTTATATTCTACAATTAATTCATACAATTCTACAATTAATGAATGAGTGAATAAAATGTTATGTTTAAAATTTCAAAAATTAAAGACTAAATTAAGTTCTTCTGTTCCATCCATCATTTATGACACCTCCGACACCTCCAAGAGAAGGTAACCAACTGTTTCCAGCTTATGTAGAGCATGCACATATATTCACAAGTATAATTAGAAATCACAGTATTGTTCTGAAGGATATTTTTCTTTTAACAATGATGGTATCCTGAGGAGTGCATATGTGGTGGCCATGAGAATGCCCCTCCTAGAACTCCAACAACAATAATTGTAGTTGCATGACTTTAGCTACTGTGCTTCTACATGAATTCTTGTATAGTACCAAAAATATACCTCTCATAGGCTTCTCTTATTTAACTTGTTCTTGAGAAAGACTCATTCTTGAAAGACACAGGACATCTCTGCAGGCCAACTTCTAATTGAGGGTTCCCTGAGGGCTCTGTCTAATCTTTCATAGGTCAAGGGGCAGTACAATATACCTCCACACTATCTCACTCCTTCTCTCAGGCTCAGACTTGCTTCATGGTCTGATGGCTCATTCAGCTTTATTTGACCCTCTGTATTTTTCGTCACACAAGCACTTTAAAAATCCTTACATGTTTAATCCAGTCTTATTTCTGGAGGACATAGACAGCCTGCTACAAGTATAGTAGTATGAGGACTGGTTTGAAAAAGCAGGTGAAAAGACAGAATTTGGAACTGTGTCATCCACTTTCCTGCAGAGAAAGAGGATGATATCTTGATTCACAGGTGAGACACAAAATTGAAGATGGTGGTTCAAAGCACAGTTGATGCTAAAGATTTCAAATTTGATGACTTGGCACATTTTTTGTACGAAGGGAATACTAGATATTCAAATACCATGATGCAGAGAATCTGGAATATATGATGAGAAAAATACCTATTAAGGTAGTGTCATTAACTGGTTACTGCTAAGTAATACTGATGCCTATATAAGAAATATGAGAGACTAGGTGCTGATATCAAGCAATTAATAGTATGTGTGAGAACTAGGAAGCCTCATTGCAGTATATGAAGGGATCCTTGTCACTTGTATAGAAGAGACGGTGCTGTTGGAAGGTAATCTGAAGATGTAATTGTGAACATTATAGAACTTTATAGAGGCTTGAATGTTAATATGAGACAGGACTGAGATTTGGAAAACTCAGGTAAAATAAGTCAGACACAGAAAGATAAATACCCTATGTTCTCTCTCCTGTGTGAATATTTTAAAACGTTTATCTGAATCCAAAATAGTGATTACCTGAGGCTGGGAAGGGTGGAGGAAGAGATGCTAGAGAAAGATTGAATAGTAAGTTCTAGTGTTCAACAGCACTCCCTATGGTAAGAAACTGAAACACTAAGATACAAAACCTTCAATAAATATTGTGAAATGATAAGGAACTGCTCAAAGGGGTTAAAAATAAACAAGATAGGGAAAAGGAGAAAATAAGGAAGGGAAAAAAGATATAGATTTGTATATATATATATATATGTATATATATATATACATATATATATATATATATATATACACTTAAGATAGCTAAGATGACTGTACTACTAATTCTATTTGTTCTTGGAACAAAACTGTTAGCACTAATATGATTAAATCAATTTTGCATTTTACTATATCTGGTAATCTGAGTAACACTTGAAGATAACTATGCAAAATAACAACCTTTGTTAAGTTCCTACCAACTTAGTTTGAAAGCCTATATTTTTGTTGTTTTGCTTTTTTGTTATTGTTTGTCTCTTTAGCTTCTTGCCTTTCTTGTATTTTTTGTTTTGTTTTCCCTCTTTAAAATAAAATAAAAAATAATAATGGCATTAATTTATTCATGTGGGTGGGGGACCCTGCAACTTAATCACTTCTCACAAACTAACCTTTAATACAATCATGAGGGCAATTAAATTTCAACAGGAGTTTTGAGGGGATGCTTGAACCATTGCATTTTCTATAACTACTAGGGCAAATTAATAAGGCCTCAGGCACATGATATACAGGCCCTGATTGACTTGGAAAGTAAGTTCTTCTCCATTCCATTTAAAATAAGAGGATAAGAAGGAGTTCACATATAATGGGCAACAATAGTTTTTTACAATTTTCTGTTGGGTTTATGTTGACTCACTTTTCTTCTATGCTAAGATAATGTGAAAAAAATCCAGAATACTTGGACATTCCACAGAACATCACAGTGATATATTTCATTAGCAACATCATCATAATTGAATAAAA